TGATGGGCCTTTGATGCTCGAAAAGTTCGAGCGACCGCCTGCAAGGCACAGACTCAGCGGCTGACACGTCCTTAGTTCTGAAACGGATGGCCTGTCCTGCTTGAGGGCTTCAAGGGAACCTTTGCGAAGGGGGGCTCTCACAACAGAGCCCAGTTTTTTTTTTTTAACGAACGGGTGGAGCAAATCATTCGAGCAAATCATTTGAGCAAGGCTTTGCGCAGACCCACATGTCGCATGCTTCTCTGGCGATCGCAGCGTTGAGCCCACACTTGCACAAGCTTCCGACAGCCCCAAAAAGCCCAAGAGCACCCGAGCCACTTGCAAAAGCTTCCGACGTTTCCAGAAAGCCCCAAAAGCCGCTAGTCAGCACCTTGGATGCGAATGCCCTTAGGCGCGGCAAGAACAGAGACCAACACATCAGCTCTTAAGAAGATCAAGTCGAAGGGCAATGCTCCCTTGCTGAGACCTCGGGCTGCCTGGCACAGATGTGGCTGTGGTTGTCAACACCGTTTTGGGATCCCATTTTGGGGTAGGTGAATTCACCACCCATTTTAGAACCTACTTTAGTGGTTGGATTGGGTCCCGTTCACTCGGGGTACGATTTGGGTTTTGACCCATGGCCATGTGATCCCTTTGTTCTGGCCGATCCGTGAAGCTAGAGCCGGCCAGAGTTGGCTAGTCAAAATCGATATAAAAACCTAGCAGGCGAGCCACACATATGCATGTTCAGTGTTTGGGACTGGTCCTTTAGCGTTTGGGCCTGCGCTTTTCGAGGTTTTTTGGACTGGCTGGGCCAAGCAGAAGCCTGATGGGGAACGGCCTTAAGATCTGTTTGGGGAACGGCAACTGAAAAGAGGAGAAAACGACACATCGATGGGTTCCTGGACGGTTTTCCCTTGAACCGGGTCGATGCCAACAGCGACGCGGCCTGGGCCTTGGCTTTGGAACCGAGGTGAACGAGCGCCCGGGCCAAACTGGAGGCGTGCTCGACGGAAGATCCTATTCTTTTTAGCCAGTCCCATGGCTGGGTGCTTTCTTTGGGTCTGTCGTTTTTTTGGATGCGACGGGTACCCTTCCACCAGCTGACATGGGATTGTGCACAGAGCCCTGTAGAAAGACTACTTTCCTCTTGGTTAGTTGGCCTTTTTGCACTTCCATGTTAGTTGGTGGGAGGGTACCGCCATTCATTTGGTGGGTTCCCCTCAAAAAGACCACATGAATCACAATCAAAACCGGGGTAGATGCGGACATCTTGATTCCTTAATTGCATGGTTCTGGGGATCGACCATGTTAATACCGGGTTTTGATGGTTGCACTCAAAAATCTGCCCGACAAAATCCAGGGGGCGAGTCCTAGTCCTATTTAATACCCGGCAGTTTTGAGCAAGTGACTCACATGGCTGTGAGAATTCTCCAGGTCAGAAAGCTCGCAGAGCTCAAGGTCAACTTGGATGGAACTGGCGAAGCTGACTTGAGAGACCAGTGCTCCCCCAGTGCCCTGGAAACCATTTCTCTTTTTGGGGGTTTTGGGTTCCGAAAATCGACTACAAAAAACAAGTGTACCTTTAAATTCCAACCTCTCTAGTGGAGGACCTAGTAGATGCTCAGACCTTGCCGGATGATGTGCTGTAGGAACAACAAACTTGCCGTGCACGTACTGGTGCTTGAATATGGCCGTGGTTGTCAAAACCGTTTTGGGATCCCATTTTTGGGCTAGGTGAATTCACAACCCATTTTAGAACCTATGTTAGTGGTTGGATTGGGATGTTCACTTCAAATACAGGCTTTTGACCCATTGCTACATGTTTAACACAAGGATCGTTTCTTGCTCGTAGATCTTCGCACAATGCCATGGGAATTCGACCTTGATCTGCTGCGGATGCTCTCGGGCCATGTTCGAGCGACGGAGCTCCGAGTTCCTGCCAAGCGCTGTTCTGAGGGTTTTTGTATTACACCCCGGGATTACACGGCGTTGCGACATGACCCATGGTTCAAAATAGCACGGCTTTATCCGGAAATGTGCCTAAATGGGGTCAATAGCCAGTGGGTGTATTCCCAGGGTGCAATACAAAAACCCTCAGAGTTAACTGCTATTGGGTTGGATCTTTAGACTTCCACTTTTCGGAAAATCAAGGGGTTTTCCACTACCCCCCCCAAAAAGTGGTCAGCTTTTTGCAGGGGGGTCGTGCCAGCAACCCAAGTAGAGTTGTGGGTCAAGGGCGCCAGAGCTCCAGGGCTCGCCCCTCGACGGATAGCTTTTCCGGCAGGCCATGCGGCGGACCTTGTATCATCACCTGGACCAAGGGACCATAGAGTCTCCAGCTGCAAGTTGAGGCGTTCCAATTGAATCCGGCGACATCCCGGCTTTCTTTTTGCGCAGGTTTCCCCGGGTTGCCTTTTTTCTTTTTCCGACGGCAGCTGCCAAGAGTCTTCTTTTTTTTTTTGGGCTGGCAGCCTTTTTTTCTCCGTTTTGTTTTTTTCCCCCCCTTGGCAGAGTTGACAGCTCGTGGACATGGGTCAAAAGCCCGTGCCCCCAGTGAACATCCCAATCCAACCACTAAAATAGGTTCTAAGATGGGTGGTGAATTCACCTACCCCCAAAATGGGATCCCAAAACGGTTTTGACAACCACAGCCATGAAAAGTGTTTTCAGGAGTTGAGTCCCTCTTGGCTGGTGCAATAGTAAGCTGGCAAGTGAGGTACCCTCCCGATCATGGAACCTTGGAAGACGACTTCTTGCTTTTAAATGGACCGTCAACTAGCTGTCGGTCGGTCAGGTCGGTCAGGTCGGTCGCTTAGTTGGTTCGGTTGGCTGGCTGGCCGATTCTATTGACAACTTTAGCTGGTTTCTGACTTTGCTAGTTCGTTGCTTAGTCATTATCGGGTCAAACAGCAAGTCAGCTACATGACATTTCTTTCCGAGGTTCATTGCTTAGTTATTCTCGGGTCAAATGGCAAGTCAGCGATATAACTCCTTTCAATAGCCAAGGAATTTCTAGCCGAGGAGCCGGAGTTTTGCTGGTCCCACCATATCCGCCAAATGGGTCCGCGAGAAATGCGCACGGCTTTGAGGATCTGGGCGGGTGGGACATGGTGAACGACAGCGGGCCGCGAGCTCAGGGAGTTGATGCTTGATGCCGAAGGCATCAACGACGGGAGTTTTTTTTTGTTGGCGCGCTTGTTTTGCAAAACGGGGCTTCTCCAAAATCAGTTTCGTTTTTCAATACCTTTTTGCCCCAAAAGATTGGTACTGAAAAACATCAGACCCGGCAACTCCCATCCGGGCGGGCTCCAGTTCGATATGTTGCAAGGGGGGGGCATCTTGCAGGGAAGCTCAAGCCAACCTGTGGTATTTTAGTCGCTCGGTCCGGTTTTGTGCAACGTGTGTTGTTGCTTGCTCGTTTTTTTTTGGGGGGGAACTTCTACTAGGTCCTCCAGTAGAGAGGTTAGAATAAGGGCTAAAAGGCCGCCCGGCGCTTGCTCATGCTTGAGGACTCCAGGCGAGCCAAGGATGGCTTCCTTCCCGACACAAAGGCATTACTTTCCTAGGTCCCCCAGCTAGGTGCCCTTTTATCGTTTGTTTCTTGGGGGAGGGTTCCCCTACTAAAATAGGCTGCAGAAAAAGTTGGTACCCTTATTCTAGCCTCTCTACTGGAGGACCTAGTTTCATAAGGGAGATGCGGACGCAACACTGTCAAACCTTTGACCTCCAACATACTGTACGCGGCTTTGCTTCCGTTACTATCATAAAAGCCAGGCCTGTGTCTAGTTTGGTTCCAGTAGATGTCTAGCATGTTTCTTTCGTTGGGTCTAGTATGTGTTCGGCATATGAATATGTAGTATAGGTCAAGTATGTGTCTAGCATGTGAACGATTTAGCTGCATATTCTTAGCATTCTCCTGGGGTATTTCGAGCACATGTCTATGAACTATATACCTAGCATTCCTTGCATTAGTCATAATGTTTCCTAGCGACTGTCTAGCATGTGGTTCAGATATCTTGTATATCTTGCAAGATGGTGTTTTCGGGCTCCGGCAACATATTTCTCGCTGTTTGTCAATTTAGGGCTGCCAGAGCTCTGCAGCAGTGGATGGCGAAGCGATCTCGGCAACAACTACGGACAAACACCCAGCATGCCTCCCGATCTTGCGGGATGTGGTGAGGTCATGGCCGTGTTTGAGGAGCAGCAAACCTGGGTACTCCCCAAAACAAGGATTCATACTTGAAGGGCCAACTCGCTGCTGATCCGCCACGCGTGTGTTTTTACTTTGGGTTGGGCGCTTCATTTCCCCAGCAGGGAACCACTCCTGATCATAGGTGTCCTTTTTAGGCTAGTTTGGTAAGAAAAAGGCGGTAGGGATTCTCATAAACTGGCACCTTACCCTCACTCCCACCATGGCACCTGATAGAGGGTCCCTTGCAAAGGAGATTGATCTTCCAGGTACCCTCCAGATGCTATGTTTGTGGGAGAAAGGGTGGCCGGCTGACTGCTTTGAAGCCACTCGCAGCAGTTTCGCCTTTCTTTTCCCCGAGTTCCTGGCACTTCGTCTTCGTCTTCCCCGCGGAGATTCCGGACAACGCCACGGAGTGGTCGGCTCCCATGGCGCGGGCGGAAGAGGTGTGGAGCAGGCGGGGCTGGAGGTGCTTGGAGCGATTGGTGGAGAAGACAAATGTGGCTGTGGGTCAAAACCAATGGGATACCACTTGTTTAAATGGGTAGGTGTACCACCCATTTTAGAACCTATTTTAGTGGGGATTGGGATGTTCACTGCTGGTACGGGATTTTGACCCATGGCCATGTAGCTGATACTGTGCATGGCTGTGAAATCCAGAAACGAAATCAGAACCCCTGGAATGATTCGGTTCCCCAACGTAAATACCAACAAGACAAGGGTTGCTCATGATTCTTTAGGTGGTGCAGGAGTTCGTCCATCCACGGTGGCTGCGGGTCACTGATGAGTGGCCTTTCCCAAGTTGGAGGGTATTGGACAGTAATTATTCAGGGCTCCTTAAAAAGATTGGCATTTTTGCAACTATTTGAAGCATGTGGCTTTTTCAACACCAAAATAAAGTTGGAAACCACCATTTACCAGTGGCAATGTTCAGGTGTACAATGTAAGGATCCCTGTTATTGGTTTAGTATTCGTTCAGTTTTGGTTTGTGCTGCTTTAGTGGCTTAGTATTGATTGATATTGGTTTAGTATTGCTTTGTGCTGCCTTAGCACTGGCTTAGTATTAGTTTGTCTTAGTTTGTATTCGTTTAGCTATTGGCTTAGTATTGCTTCGGTTGTCTTCCATCCTTTTCGATCCTCTCTGCCTCGCACTGGCGTTGAATTGTTTGAGTATTCCTTTGCTGGACCAAGTTTGCACAATTGGGTCCCCTCTTTCATATTTATGGGACAGGTAGGTTTCGGAGAATGCATGGCGATAATTGCAAGACGTCGCAAGCTCATTCTCACTACATGCGGCTAAGTATGCAAGCCTTACTGTACCTGATTTGTCACCCATAATTTTACCACCGCCACACGGAGCTGTGAACTTATCGCCCGCGAGTTTCCGTGTGAGGATCTTCACCGGAGCAGAGAAGGGAATAAAGCACAGGCAGATTCCGCGAGGCATCACCAGGCGGGGCTTGCGGGTTATGCCATGGGCTCGTTTCTTTTTGTGGAGGGTACTGAAAGGACAACCACCATAGGTGTCCTTTGTAGGTGAGTTTGTCTAAAAATGGCTGGGTTCCACTGGTTTAGGTGGGTTTTATGCCCCATTGACCGGGGAAACCCATCTATTTTTCCAAAAGGCCACCTATGACAACCAGAGTTTGTTTGGGCAGTTTCTAGTTCAAGACACCAGGTTTTGTAAGCCTTCCGGATGGACAACCAGAAAGAAAAAGGTCCGAAACAGGATGGTTTCAGCATTGGGCCCCGAGGTTCTGACAGGGATTTGTATGTCATACGGCTTGTTGTTTCAACACGGCGGTTCGGTTCGGTTCGTGGAGGTCGGCTGACAATTTGATCGGCCGGAGGTTTCTAGCCCAATCTTCCCGGCTGGGATCGCCTGCTTTTTTGGCTTGGCTCGGCTCGGGCAGCCAAGCCCCTGACTTGATAGCCCAGGAGAGACTTCCAAGCCATGGTGTCTTGGCAGCGGGTGATGGAACAATGCATGATTGGACTCACTTTATTCTGAACGGTGCTCATGCTTGCACTTGCTCGCGCAGGTCTCATGACACCTCAGCTCAAAGGGCACCCCATGTGCACAGATACCCCTAACGGACACATTTACAGGATCGCATACTCTGCATATACTGGGCTGGCTTGCCAAAACAGACGGACCCGGCATGGACTGTCCGACAAACACGCGCACAAAGGGGATCCACGAGTCTAGGAGTCGATATGCAGGAGTCGGCCAGTCTGCTTCCTTCGGCACTGAGCAAAACACACAAACAGATGACACGCCTGAGCAATTCGCTCACGCCAAGGTATTGAAAGAGCTGGCCGGGTTCTTAGAGAGTTTCTGCCAAACCGAGTTCGAGTTTAACCGGCACGCTGGGTTCAAGCTGAATTGCCTGGACGGATCCCCGGCATGTTGCCTTGAGAGGGTTTGCCACTTTGGACAAATTTGTGTCGTGCAGTAATCGATGCAAACCTGTCAACGGCGATATGGGGATGGAGACGTGCACTTGCTACAACAGGGCACCATCATCACTCACAACAATCGACTTGTTTAGCAAGCATCAGGTGTGTAGGGCTACGTTCAAGCATGTCTGAGTTGGTCTTTCCGTTGGTGGAACACAGTTGCTCCGAGAACATCCGTGACTTGGGTGTATTTAGCCGAGCATAAGCACCTAAAAAGGCGCTTCCCCGACAGCCCGGCATCAGCTGGGCTGTGCCTTGGAAAGCGGGGGACAAGCCACGGGCACCAAGAGCCCTTCGAGTGTAGGTGGCAAAATCGACCCTAAGGGGGGTGTGCATTTTTTTGGAGGGTACCTGACAGGGCAACCAAGAGGAAACCACCATTTTCGGGGATGCACCTATTTCACATTGCCCAACATCAAGAAGCCCAGCGGTTTGTTGAGTTGGATTTATGTCTAAGAACCCCCGGTTCCAAGTCTTTTTTGGGCTCCAGGGAAGCTGATTTCAACCGTGGTTACCAGAGGTTCAAGCGCCATGGATTGAATATTTGCTCTGTGATGGTGGTTTGGGTTGGTTCCAACCAGAGGTTGAAACCGCGATGGTTTAAGTATCTCTGTGATTGATGACTTGGATTGGTTCAAAACTCAGCTTGAGCCTTTTTTCTTTTGTTTGATTGGATTGGATTGGATTGGATTGAACTTCATATTTGTTTGAACTCCTTGTTTGAGCTACTTATTGTGATTGAACTCCTTATTCATCCTCTTTTGAGCTTCCTGATTTTGTCGAGCTTCCTTTTCTGGTTCGATTGGACCCAGAGGCTTTGTGCTCCTTCCTGTCGGTCCCCCTCAGCTCCGCGCGAGTCGACTCCGCGC